AATTTGTACATCAGTATAAGTTTTTAATATATTGTAATGAAGTGCATACCTTTAATAAGCTTTAAAACTCTACATCACGAAATGTTTAGTAGGTATAAATATATAGCTCATCACAATATTTAAGYTTTTACACAAAGTTTTTATCTTGGTATACATACAATACTTTTAAATAAAAATAATGTTAAATTTACATCTAAATAATACGAGTAGTTGAGTTTGACAAAATTGATATTAAAAAATATATAATATTTTTAAGTTTTTTGAATTTATCCATGTATTTAAAAATAAATAAATAGTATATTTCACACATGCATAAATAGCAATAATATAGTATGTTATTTTGCAGGATAGATATTGAATTTGAAAAGCTGCATAGACGTAAAAGACTATTAAAAATAATATAGTAACAACAGAGTGTATAAATAACTATTAATGTCGATCATTGTATTTGAAAAAAAAGTTAGCAACAGCACGACGTTATTCGAYACAAAAAAATGTGTTTGGTTATTGTCGTACAAACATGGTATACTTTGACGTGACTTTAACTGTGGACGAAGAAAAATAAAACGATTTTTGTTTTTTCGGCGATGTTAATCGTTAAATTCACGTTGATTTACCAAACGATGATGGCGAAGACGTATATCCTGCTGAGGAACCATAATCCGTTTTCATCTGTATGAAACTCCGAACACCGACTAAAAAATACATCCTTATATAATATTTAAACTATATGTCATAAAAATAATATATTATTATTTCATAAGCCTACTAAAGTTTCACGTTTAAAACATCTTTAATTCAATAATTATTGTACATAATTCAATAGAGACAAAAACCCTGCTTTGTCATTGAATAAWGTGTACAAACGACGAGCAAGGCACCTCTAACTCACCGAAGATAAATTAAACATAGTGTTGTGATCAAAAAAAAATATATTTTTCTATAGTTATTGTTGGGAATTATTATATATAAGTATTTATTATTTAGTACATAATTTGTATATTTTGTATTCCCCATATATTCACTAATTGTTCTTTAAAGGGTTTTATAATATATTAAGGACATTTTTGCCAATGATTAAAATAAGTATTTAAAAATATAAAATGTTGAATAAACGGTCTGAATTTATGATTTCTGACATTATAGTGAGATCAGCAGTGACTATTTTTATAGTGTGTCTTAAAATGTATAGTAAATAGATACAATATTATAATCGTTTAACGGCAATTGACTTCTAGTAACCAGTGTTTCCTTATATTTTTTTAACATGAGAAGAACGTAAGGCGTAAGTAATTAGGTATTTATTTGTCATTACCTACAACGATATAATACGCTATCAGTGGCGTAGTTAGGAATTTTGTATGAAGAGAGGGGCTAAATCCTACGAAAAAATCCCCATCCAACTTTCCTTTACTTACACGTTGAGTAAAATCTTTTGTTCAATATATTATAATTTAGACTAAAATAAAYATATGGTCAATGAGTGGGGAGAAGCTATAGCCTCATTAGTCATCCTAGTTATGCCTTTATATACCACCTGGTTCGCTATATATTGCGTTCCATAAAGCAATTAACACGCGGATATCAAAATGAATAAATTATTTCAGTTTACCACTTTCATTTTTAGGTTCATTCCACGGTTGAACCTCCGCAGATCCGAAAATGATGTAAAAGATACTTGAGAAGAAAAGTATGACTGCTCCCAGCGTGAAAACCACCCTCCACTCATCCACCGAAGTCTATAATAAAAAATATATAGTATATATTATAATTCACTTAAAATTAATGAAAACTTGAAATTTMAAATTACTTGTCGTATAGACTATCGCTATGGGGATAATTCGACGACTCGTCGCAGCTCGTGTACTTATTAGCAAAAAAAAAAAAACCTAGCGCACTGTACTCACTTGATCCTGTACAATGAACCCACAAACGGTGGGTGCCAACACTCCACCCAGGGCCGCCACGGCGTTTGTGAAGCCCATCAAAATCCCTGCGTAATTGGGTGCCAAATCGAGATGGTTAATGTTGAAACCCACATTCGTACAGCAGCCGATGGCTACTACGAACACGTACATACATATAGCTGCATTTGCGTCTTCACCCATGTAGCCTAGGACTACGAGACCCAAAGCACCACCACTCATCCCTATACTCAAACAACAAAAATAACGTGATGGAGGGTACGGTGTTTTACGCTTTTCAGTTACATATTATTTTATACATACAATTCTATTTAAATGGTTCTCGATGTTAAAATATGGCAACTCAATAATAAAATAAATTAATAAACTTGTTCGTTATAAAAATATTAATGCGAATAGCTTTTTATTTATTAATATTATATT